TCATAGGTCGTGATGATGAGGTCGCTGATCCCAGATGAGATCACAGATCGAATGTTTTTTTTTGCATGATGAATGAAGTCATTGATCCTATGAATTTAATGATGAGTATAAAAGCCACAGAGTCGAAGAGGGAAGTTGTGCTTTTGATGCTTTAGTAGTCACCCGAAAAACCTATTTCTGGCTAATAGAAGGTTCTCCCCACCCCTCTCCCAAAAGGGAATTGGGTTAGGTAGCTACCTGATCGAACAAGATATGACGACATCGATGCTATTCTACGCTGCGAAATCACATGACCGCGTTAGTAGGAATGGGCGGCTGTGTAAACCCAACACTATCCCGAGAAGTAGGACAAGACAGCTGTGAAAACCCCACACTGTTCTAAGAAATTATGGTGAAACAACTGGGTACATTTTCTGTAGTGTGTTAGAAATGTTTAGTGTTAGAGAGCTGCAAATCGGGCAAATGGCAGCACCATTCTCGTAGTCTTCATATATATTTTTGGCAATTGAAATTGTAAAATTGATAAATTGAAATATTGTTGCATTTGAAAAGAAATCTGAGTGAGAATTATGAATTAATAACTGTAAAAATTGAGGTATGGCGAATCAAGGGTATAATTATTCTTATAACAGCTTCTTGGGCAATGATATCAGAGCATATATTTATGTTTTTTAAAAAATCAATTTCACAAAAAGTCAACTAAGTAGTGGAACACATACTGTATATCGCCAGAATAGAAATGTTTTTTATGACAACTCATAATAGAAATCATAAATTCTGTCACAAAATAATTAAACCTCAACTGTATACTGTAATAGCAAGAAAGTTTTGTAAGAGAATTTTTTTACAGTAATTCATGATAAAAACTACAATAATTTTGGGCTTAGTGCTGAAAAATGACAAAAAAAATTCTTTGCAAAAAATTAAATTTCTCGCAAACTATTGATCAGAATTATATGCTTTGATACCATTTGTTTCATCTTTATGAGACAAATCAAATAGCACCAAAATTATGTAATTCTGATTAACAGTTCAAGAGTTAATTAATTTTTGTGAAAAATTTTTTATATGTCAATTTCGTTCCTTTTTCCAGCGCCAAGCACATTTATTCCGATACAAACCAACCCAACAACCTTAATTACATACTGCATATCACTGGAATAGAGTGAATTTCATAACCAATTGTAATGCAAACTAACTCAAAATAAATTACCTGATGTGATTGCTAAAATAGTGAGTAAGCTATTTTTAACAATTATTCACAGTAATTTATGAAAAAAAATTACAATAATGTAAATGCAGGCTAACTCAACCTTAATTATATCAGTGTTTCAGGTGAAACTCAAATTTGCAGATCAAATTGGGCAAAACTAGTCAGAGGGTTTTAGACTTATAGGGCGAAGCTAAAATTCCTCTGAGCAAAACGTTTCGGATTTGAAAATTAGTTTTTACCGAAACACTAAATCATATAGAAATCATGATAATTCAATGCAAACTAACTTATCCACATACTATGATTACTACAATAGTAAATAACTCAATTTAAATTTGCATAATTTCGATTTTAATTTAGACTAAATTACATAGAAGTTCTGATAATTCAAATACAAATTGATTCAACCTTAACCAATATAGAGTGTCACTGGAAGAATAAGTTTCATAACAGAATTTTTACAGTAATCAAATAATTTAAATACAAACCAACTTAACCACATACTGGAATAGCAAGTAAGTTCTGTAATAAACTTTTTTGCAATAACCTGCAATTCCGATAATTTCATTCAATCTTAACAACTTAGTTATCAAATAAATTTATAATAATAATGTCTTGAATCATTGGGTATTGGTGGATTGATCCTAGACAGTAATAGCGAAAATACATGACTGATACTGATCGGCTGCGTAAGCAGCAAATCAGTATCCATTATTACTGTCCACCAATACAAGTGACCCAGGATATTAAATAATCAAATATCTTATCCTTTTCTTTTAAAACATAATAGCACAATTGTAATATTTGTGAAAATAATAAAATCAGGGCATTTTACTTAATAAAGTCTTTGTGATAGAAGTGAGCTGTTTGTTTAGTATTCTGAGGTTCATTTTATTCATGCTAAATTAATCAGTGCAGATAAATATCAATATATCTTGATAGGTTAATTGAACAAAATATTCTGAAATTTAATCATTACCACATGGCTGATCTCGCGCAGCACTGCGTGCTGCACAACTATCTTATTATTAGGGCTAACACATTATAGTAATGATATAGTTTTAAAATAGGCATTGTGCACTTAGCCGACCACGATATTCTTGCCATGCTGTTATTCTGTAATTCTTACTTATGTTATTGCAGTTACTAAATACATACAGTAATAACTATAATTATATACTATCTTTAATATTTATAAAAATTTTGAAGTTACTTATAAAAAAAACTTTATAATTTTCAAAAAAATTTTAATTTTAAAAAAGATTTTTTTTTTAATTTTGCTTAATAAAAATTTATATACTGTACATTATTAATAAAACAAATATCTTTAATTTTTACTTAATAAATAGGGGGTAAGCTTAAATAAATTTTTGAGAAAATTTAAAAATTTCTTCAAAAGCGGGCAAATTTGCTCACTAGACGGTTTAAGGGGTAAAGAGAATACGCACATATAGGAGGTAGCTATAGAGAGGCTTACTGTACTTGAATCGATTGTTGTTGCTACGTATCGCAATTTTTTTTTCAACACTCGCAAGAATGTAGTTTCATATCTTTGACGAATACTAGAGAATCAACAAAAGGAAGTTTAATGAATAATGCATAGAAATTGTTATGTCTAATAATATTAAATTTAAGACTTTTAGTGTAGCAAAACGTTCAAATAATTAGCGACTAATACATTCGAAATTCTCGTATCGGTATGGCACATACTTAAACAAGATAGATAGGAACACAAGTGAAAATTTTTATCAATAATTAAATAATTTGCGCAACACATTAAGTGATCGAATATGGGATCAAAGGCTGTTGCAATAAAAAACAAAAAAAAGAAAACAAAAAAACCAAAAAAGATTTGATTCAAGAAAATGTGGATATTTTTTACAAAAATTCCTAATATACATGAATACTTGAATATATTTGTTTGCAAATTTAGCTTATATTTGGTATTTGCATTTAGCGCCTTATGCTTTGATATTTTTCGTTTTTTATTTATTTTTTTTAAATTCATCCTTATTATTTATTAATATTATTTTTAATTCGTTTTTTTTCTAATTCGTATTTATTTATTCATTTTTTTTCAGCATAAAAATTTTTATTAAATCAGTAAATGACAAATGTCAATTATAAATGACATAAATTGAAAAAGACTCGGTGCATAAATTTACTATAATCGGTTAGCTGTTCTAGGCATTAAATGTTATACTTAAATTTATAATTCCGTACAAAAAGACTATCACACTTGACATTATCCTAATGAATATGCATATAAAATTTATGAGTTTAATTAAAATTATAAAGGTTTACACATTATTTACCATTATTTACCATTGTCATTTTTATAGCCAATCAATTTAATAAATCAGCCGTTTCTGTTTAATATTGTCTTTGTAATAATGTCATGCAGCTGTCCAGTATTTAAAGTGGCAATTATGTTAAACATATTTATTATTACTTAATCACATTCGAATCCAATATATATACAATGGGCACGTGCGTAAAGCGGTACGTATCAGCCATCATTTGTCAACTTACCGTATTCGACAATTTGTCCAATATTGGTGTTATTCGGCAATTTACGATGATTCGTAGGAGTTACGGCTGAGTTTTAATTTAAATAAACGTGATTACATAATAATGCATTAAAAAATTAACTTCATGGTCGTAGAAGTTTTTCGGATAAAGTACGTAATTTAGTGTGCTTAAATGATATTATGGTTTCAGTTAATTTTAATTTATTCGATATTTCTAATAACATTGGTTCTAAATTGAAGACTGGGCGGCAAAGTTGCCTACACGTGCTTCTACTATTTTTATTTAGCATTAATGCTTGTATTAATATAACATAAACAATATGTTTAAAACTTTACTTAACGTCCAAAACTAACTTCGTAATAAACTTGCGAATTTTTATTTTACATCTGATTTATATGTTACACAACGATCTTATAATCAAATTGAAGTAATTTGTTGCCAATTTAAGACATTTGCCTTCCAATAAATTCATCTTAAACCTCTTCCGTTTACTGACATACCTTAGTACAATAGTTAATTTGATTGGTTAAAGATAAAAAACAGTGTATTCAATGTTTTGAATGATTTTCAGTTTCCGTTTGCTGGTACAAATAATGTTCCTAGCTAATAATAATAATAATAATAATAATAATAAAGATGGATCGATCATTGTGAAATAACAGCATAGTTGGTCCTCTTCACATCTCTTCTCTTCTATTCCTTCCGTTATTTTATTTCTTCCACCCGAGCTATTTATCCTGCTTTTCTATTCCGTCTACCTATTACCTTTAATGTTTCTTCTTATTCGTTACATTACCAGCAGATAACTGAGTTCTACGAAATAAACTAGAAAAGTATTTATTATTGCATCCGTAAGTATGATGGAAAGTGCAGAAAGAATACTACTTTATTCTCCGTATCTGGTGTTACTATTTCATCTAAAAAGAATAGTTACGAATCTTCAGGGGCAATTCTGTGCCAAAAATTGGATTCAAAAAGAAATTGGTAATTTGGATAATTGCTGTTATCATCATTTTATTAAATTAGTTTCGTACAAAGAAAAAAGTACATATTACAATGAATATTTAACATTATACATAATTATAAAATTTACTAATAAAATAAGAATATGTGTGTTTTAAGCTTAATTATTGAAAAAATTCTTATCGTAAGACCGATTTTAGGACCGTAAAACGACCATTAATATTATTAAATCGGTCCTACAGTACCGAACCCGACCAGAACGGTCCGATCCATCATTCCTACTATAGAAGGACTATAATTTTCGGGCGCCTTTAGCAATAAGTTTTCCAGTAAAATATAATATTAAAATAATGACTACTGCTATAAGTACACAACAGCAACAAGCACCACACAGAATCCGCACACAAGAATCATCACCTCCACGAAGTTTCCGAAGGTGTTGTGGGATGCCTTGTCCAGTGGCTTGTTCAGTGGCTTGTTCGGTGGCTTGTTCAATGGCTTGTTCGGTAGCTTGTTCAGAATTTGTTCTGTTTGCTTCTATCTCACTGGAAATTTGACCTTGTTCCAAATTATCTTCAACCTGCTGATTTAATTGAGATTAGTTTGAACAATTAATAAATCACATTTTATTTAATGCTTTATTTTTTTGAGATAAAAGCTTAATATAACAATTACTTGCGACATAGTTAATAGTTTCTTACTGTTAGAAAAAAAAGAAGTTATTATTATTTTAACACCGATTTAATAACGAATTAACTGAGAACACGAACTGTTTTAACTTACTTAAATGATAATTATAATTTTTTTTTTGCAAAAGTTTTTGCTTTACAATCGAGAATTATAAATCTTTATATACTTATCAGTTATGGGATAATACTGCGCAAGTAAAATTAACAGTATTTCATCAGAGATAAACAACTTAATTATTTATTCAAATGAATAATTGTCATTACGTATTGATGATAAATTTTGCTTATTTTTAATAAAATACGTACTACATAAATACAATTGCTGTCTAACATGACCCTGGCTGAATAAAGATCAACATGATCGGATCACACCATTTTGTAATATTAGTATGAATATGTTTGGATTAATTCTTTAAATACGTATGTTGTGCGACGAACTAAAATTTGCATCAGATCAGAGTGTCCAACTATTTCTAACATCTAAAATAGCACTAGTGATATTACAGCAACCACATAACCAAATGGTTAATTCTATATATTTATAGAATAAAAATAAGCCAAAATTTATCGAATTTAGTTTGGTTGATTCGTAATATCCTAATGCTATTTTAGATGTAAATAACTTGACACTATACGTCAGAGCAAGGTAGACGTAGAATTTGACGTACGTACAATATGTACTGTGTTTATTTATCAGGCGTATATTAATTTGTCCACTTCTGATACATTGTCACCTTCATGAACCAATATTGTATACCTTTGGTACGTACATACTATTAATTTGTACACAACTAGTATGCTGCTTAATTTTTGAAGTTTCTTTTCGATTTAGTTGTCATAATTTTATGAGTCCTGTGAGTCACGTGATTACAATATAGATAATCACTTAATTCGTTATATTTTGCTTTAATAAATACTTTCTTAACATTTGTTTGGTTCGCTCCGGTTCTCACAAGGCCAAATAATTATTCGTATAGTTGCCAGTTCTAGGAAGCACAAATTTATACTAGAAAAGACAATATACGAATAATAAAATGTTAAAAAAGTACCCACGAAATGAGTTCCGCAGAATATAACGAATTTAAGTGATTACCTATATTGTAATTATGGGAATCACGGGACTCAAAAAAACTATGATCGAAAGAGCGATAATGATTTCGTTTCTATGGTAAAAATACCGTTACACGATTTTTTTACATTGTCCCGAAATATAAAATTCTAACAAGTTACATTTTTTAAAAACACGTTAGTGTCAGTATAGGAATGTAACACAAAAATTAAATATTTTTAAATGAGCAATGTTATACGTAATAGTGACGCAAAAGAAAATCAGACTTCGAGATACAAGTTTTCGCATATTATTTATTACTATACGCCAGTGCTTTTAGTACCCGGTATGATGCAATTTTTAGGGGTGTACTATATATTCTAGAAAATATTTTTTTTAATTTTTAAAATCATAAGCCATTAAACATCACATATATGCATAAACAGTATTTTAAAAAATTAAACAATATTATTTGTCACACCTATCACTAAAAGCGGTGGCGTACAGTATTTATTACTAGGATTCAGCCCTGATCGGAGACATACATATGATACGTTATAAAGTTAATTACGTAATATATATGTCACTGAACTCATATAGCGGCCTCCCTAAAAATTTTCGCATTCCGATTAATATTAATGCTATTGTTGCCCCGGGTTTGAGGTTTCTAATTTTTTTTCTTAGGTTCTAAGCCTAGTTTATTCAATTAAACCCGACTTAGGTTCAAATGAACCCGACTTAGGTTCAAATAAACCCGACTTAGGTTCAAATAAGCCCGACTTAGATTCAATAAACCCAACTTAGGTTCAAGTGAACCCGACTTAGGTTTAAATGAACCCAGTTTGGGTTTTTATTTTGTTTATTTATTTTTTTCATTTTTTTTTTAATTTGTTTTTCATTTTTTATATTTTTTAATTTATTTTTGTTTTATATTTTTATTAATTTTTTTATTTTGACTATTTTAAGTTAGCACACTTGCATATGGGCTAATTTTTGCAATTTATGTAGATCAGAACCCAAAAATAGAGTTAATTCTGGTCAAATTTGCAGATCATTTGGCCCTTGGTGATGAGTTTTAAAACTAAGACTTTAGCATCACCAATTAAAAAATTTTGTTGATCATGTAATAGGCTAATCAACTACTAAAATTAGGTTTTTATTTTTTATTGTTTAGCTTTTTTTTTTAGTGTTTTATTTTTCAATAATTTTTTGTTATGTTTTTTGATCACTTTTTTAGCACCTCTAGTTGCTTTTCAGTTGTTTTTTGGTGCTCTTTCATTATTTTTATGGAGTTTTCCATTATTCTTCATTACTTTTTAGTGATTTTTTGGTACTCTTTCATTGTTCTTTTGGAGTTTTCTATTGTTTTTTGTCACTTTTTGATAGTTTTTTGGCACTCTTTTATTTTTTTTTGAAGTTCTCTTTTACAATGGTTTTTTAGTGCTCTTTGGTTATTTTTTTGGAGTTTTTCATTATTCTTTTAGCAGTTTTTTAGTTGTTCTTTTGATGGTTTATTTTTTTAAATACTTTTTTTTATATATTTTTAGTGATTTCTTTGCTATTCATTTAGTGATATGTTGTAGTTTGGGTTGGGTTAAAGTAGATGGCTTATTTATAAAAGTTGTTTTCTATAATTTTTACTAAGAATTTGATATTGTAGTTTGGGTTGGGTTAGGTTAGTGTTAGTAAGAAAGTTTCTATTAATAAAATTTTATAAGTGCATTTTAATTAAGCTGCAGAGAATAGTTTTTTAAGTTATTTCTGTTTTTTTTTGTAAAAAATAGCTATTATTAATTTAATAAATAAAAAATATTTAAAAAAAATTTAAAAAAATTTTTTTTTTTTTTTAAAAAAAAATATATATCTTTACAGTATCATAGTATTAGTGTTAAGGGAAAATTTTTAATTGGCTAGCACATAATTAGTAAAATTTTTTAGATTGGTAATACATTACCAAGAGCCAAATAATTTACAAATTTGACTAATATTAAATCTATTTTTGTGGTCTAATCTATATAAATCATAAAATCAGCTATATATACACTATAATATATCTATACAATCAACCAATTAGATTGTAAAATCAATGTAATACATATGGGCGGATTTGACTCCATTCAATATTGTCACAAAATTTGATTTTGTCACTTAAGATGATCAAAAAATATTTTTAACCAATCAAATCGATTAAAAAATTTGATTGGGATATTTCAAAATTTGATATACCCGTACTGTAAATTTCCAAGTACCTTGTTAGCAATAACCTCTAGAACGGGGATCGTTAAAGTCTTCAATACGGTCTTGAAACTTCAGCACTTGTACAATCTACACCTTATCCTAAACCAAGACAATAGTTAATATTTAGGATACTTAAAAAGTCTCCAGCATCTTTTTAGTTCGCCAATTAATTATTAAGCAAAAAGTACCAAGTAGAAGAGCCACGATGGCTAGTAAATGCCAGCTTTGTCAAGAGGTTTTTGCTTCTCGAAAAGATCTTGTTACTCATGAAAGAATTAAGCACCGAAATAATAAAATTATACCTCACCACAAATCACTTCTTCAACCTCCTCTTGAGCAAATTACCTTTTATCAAGATGTATTTATAGTTCTTATTAAAAAACGTCTTGGCTTTAATAGGCATTTAGTAGGCACAAAACAAGTTTCTATTAACGCCTTTCCTGAAAATATATTTGTTTATCTTTTTGAACATAAGCCTTCTTTTCGGTATAGTCCTGTGCAACGAAAGTATTCGTGTGTTTTTCAAGATGAAGCTGGGGAACAAAGATTGAAACAATTAGTCAACTATGATTATTGGAATATTAGACAAGATCCAAAATTAAAAACTATAGGATATGTTTTATTCATGGATAATGAGAATTCTTACGGAGTTAGCTTTAGTTGGTCACAATCTGATTTTAAAGAGAATGAACGTGTTTTTCACTACGGCACTGCTACGTGTAAATTCATAGCAGATTCTGGAGAATTTTCTGAACAGTAAGAAATATAAAAGCTCGGTTAACAAAATGAGTGCCACCAAGGGAAAACCTGAATGCTTAATTATAAATTTTATAAGTAAGCATTTAGGTTTTCTCTTGGTGGCACTCAAATGATCCTTCTGAACTATAATTTCATGGTTCTCTAACGGATCTTATTATTATTATTATTATTATTATTATTATTATTTTATTAATTATTATTTTATTAGGCCCACTGCACCCCAAGCAAATTGTGTCATTTCTCAAACGCCAAATCTACCACAAGTTCACAAGATAGATTCTAATCTGAATTCTCCAAATGATAGATCAGATCAAAAAATTTATAAATTTATATTATCTCGAGTGCTGTTTCAACAATTAAATAGATAATTTTTTTTTTTGTTTTTATATTTTTAAAGATATAGTGTTTAAACGATATACTCTAATAGATTTAGATCAATGAGAAGTATAATAGCACTAAGATTTTTGATTGCCACTATAAAAAATAAAATTTAATATAGTGTTATTTGAAACTGCCGCTAAATTTTTGGGTTTCTAATATTCCAATATGAAGGAATAATAAGCTATTTATTTGTAACACTTTAGATTCCTGATGGTTCAAGATCCTGCATGATTCTAAGACCTGACATTCGAGTTTCTCTCTACTGAATATACATTACCAGTACTTATGCTGTTCATAAAATGCTAAATGGGAAAGCGATTATTACTTTAGGTAATCCTTTTTATTTTACATTTTTTCATTTGTACACAATATATACTTGTGTAGCTAACTTTTTCAATTAAATTATATAACTACCGGGATTATAATGCTGTATGAATTACTGTATATAAGCAGTCTAATCTAAATATATTTCAGTTAAGTTCAATCCATATTTGATAAATGCCTTATATTTTTTAAATGTTTTGTGGATTACAACAATTAGCATATTATATATTAACATAAAATTATAA